AAGTTGCCTACACAACTAGCGCTGTCTTAGAGGCCCCAGGATAGCTGACATCCATATAGAGCTGGTAGATCTGGCGCAGAGCCTATGGGYGACCTATGCCTTTCTGGAGCATCAGAGAGACACCAGCTAAGACACCTGCAGCATTTCCACTGGCATGACTTACACTTCTACACATGGCCAAGTGAAAACCATGAAAAGAGCTGAACCCTTCCTTCTCGCTTGGCTTTAAGATAGGATGAACTTCATGGAAAATAAAGGCAAATCAAATGACTTTGAGGGCAAACCACTCCAATAAAGCTGTTTTTATTTAAGCATCCTTCTCTGCAACTTCTCTTTTCCAGCCAGATGAATGGCAATGGCTACGCCACCAAGGTATGTTCATCTTTCAGCATCGACACCGCCCAAGAGAGGTGACATGAGACCATTTCCAATGTGTGGGGTATTTCTGAAGGTACTCAAGCCATTGAGAGTGAAAAGCAGATTTCTGCACAACACAGTCTACAGCCAAAAGCTCCTCTGMTTACCTTTCCCACTGTCTACTACCCCACAGAAGCTGCACAGAAAAACATGTTCTGTACCAGTAATGCTCTGGAGAAAGGTCTTCTCTTTAGGGCACGTTTCACCTCCACATTTCTCAGAGTGTAGATCAGAGGATTGAGCACTGAGGTGACAACATTATACATGAGAGTGGCTATCAAGTCCCTCCTGGGGGAGCTCCCTGAAGAAGGTGGCACGTAGTKAGAAATGACGGGGACATAAAGCAAGGCAACTRCCGTKRGATGGGAGATGCAAGTGGAGAAGGCTTTCCTCCTTCCCTCCTTGGACTCAACTTTCAAGCGGAGGAAGGAAAATATGTACAGGTAAGACAAGAGTGTGAAGACAAAGGGTCCTACCACAATGGCCCCAGTGATGATGCTGAGAAGGTGGAGGTTGAGCTGACTCTGGGAATGAGCAAAGCAGGAAGGGGATTTTTACAGAAGGTCTGGCTCTAATCGTTGCCTCTGCTGGAGGACACCCCACATACACAGAAGGGAGGAGTGCAAGGAARCACTCTGCTTGTCTTYGGCCTGTTACAAGCAAATATTTCYTCTGAAAGACCTGAAAAGACTTAAAAGCTCTCAGGGATCCTGTGGGAACAGAAGATCMGCACCCCTGGGACAAGGTCTCCCACAGTATCTAGTAAGGAACACTGCTCAGGAGAGTAAAAATCTCTTTGGACACCCTCCTATAGCAGGGTGAAAACGTGGGAGACTCTTTCTGAGATTAGGACACGTTCATTTGGGTTTTCTTTTCCAGTCGGATGAAAGGAAGGCACCCACCAACATTTATTCATCTTCAGGCATTGACATTGCCCAAGACAGAAGACCTGAGATTACATTGAGTTCATAGGGTTCCTCTGAAGGACCCCAGACCAAAAGCTCCTCTGGCTGCAGTTCCCATCGCCTACTTCCCTGCACACAGTGCAAGCAAGAACAGGTTTTATACTAGCAGCTCTTTGGAGAAAAGTCTTCTCTTTAGGGCACGTTTCACCTCCACATTCCTCAGGGTGTAGATCCAAGGGTTGAGGACRGACGTGATCATACTGTACAGCAGGGTGGCTATCATATCCCTCTTGGCTGAATTYCTTGAGGACGGTGGCACATARTTAGAAACGACAGGGATATAGAACAAGGCGACTACCGTGAGGTGGGAGATGCAAGTGGAGAAGGCTTTCCTCCTTCCCTCCTTGGACTCAACTTTCAAGCGGAGGAAGGAAAAAATGTACAGGTAAGAAAAGAGTGTGAAGACAAAGGGCCCTACCACAATGGTCCCGGTGACGATGCTGAGAAGGTGGAGGTTGAGCTGGTTGCTGTCGCAAGCCAGTCTCACCACAGGCTTGATGTCACAGAAGAAGTGGTGGATGTGGCTGGGGCCGCAGAAATGCAGCTGGGAGGTCATGACCGTGTGCAGGAGAGCGTG